CCCGCGCGCCGCGGAGCGCCCCGAGCCGCGGCCGCTTCCGGGAGGGCTCGGGCGACCCTTCCCCTGCAGCCCCCAGAGGTCCCGCAACTAGGGGGGCAGTGGGTCCGGCCTGAAGCGCGGTGCCCGGCACGGTCCTCCCCGCGCCGCGCGGGGCTCTGAGCCCCTCACTACGTCCTGGCCAGTCCTTCCGGCCCGGGCCGCCCGCCCGGCGGCCTCTGCCGAGCCCCCTGCACCCCCATCTCAGTCTCGGCCTCGCCTTGCTTCGGGCTGGGCTCCCTCGGAGCTCTGCCTTCGACCCTCCGCCCCGCCCCCGCTCCCTAGCTTCGGCTCCATCCTGCGCGCCGGACTCTCGCCCACCAAGACCCGCTCCGCTCCGCCACCCACAGCTTCCGCGCAGGACAGGTTACTGGGCCAGCCGGAGGAGGGGCCGGAGATCGTGGGCCCAGGTGCACCCTGCCCCGTGATCCCCCAAATCTTCTCCCAGAATTCCTTTTGGGGCTAGGGTCGCAAGCGATCGGGCGCCTTCGAGTCCTTTACTAAGAAAGGGATGAGTGGGGGGAGGAGCTGAGCAGTTCCCAAGTCCCCCGCCCCCGGCGCGAGCATCCCTCCCCCTCGCCGCGGTAATCGGCTCAGCCTGGTCCCACTGACCTCCACCTCCCCCCACAGCTGAGTCTCTTGGCACCTGGGAGTGTGTGGGTGGGGAGGGGAATCCAATCTCCCTTCCCCTCCATCTGGCCTGGTGGACAAAGGGCAGGGGGACCATCTGGTCCCGCCAGGGTGGGGGAGGGGCCACAGTGGCGGTCCCAAGGGGCGGAGGAGGGGCGGCGCTCTGGAGACAGCAAGAGCCGGTGGGGTCTAATTGTATCACTTTATTTCACCGATCTCCACGCTCTGCCTCCCCCACCCCCAAACCTCAGAGCTGGAAAGCAGCTCTGGTAACTTGGAGAGGTGTGGCACGCCAGGAGGAAGGGAAAGGCAGGGAGAGCTGAGGCAGAGGGTGGCCCTCCCTGTCTGGGGGACAATTCTGGGCGGGGTCAGCTGCAACCTATCGGTGAGTGGTGTCCAGGGCTGGCCACACCCTAAGCCTGGCAAGAGGGTCTCCTGCTAGAGGCCCACGGGGTCCTCCTCACCTCCCGACAGTGAGGTGTTCCATGGTTTGAAGTGCAGATGTGGGTGTGCTTGTGTGGAAGCACATGTATGCATGTGTGTGTGCATGCAAAGTGAGGCTGTGGAAGCACATGTATACATGTGTGAGCATGCAAAGTGAGGCTGTGGAAGCACATGTATGCATGTGTGTGTGCATGCAAAGTGAGGCTGAACCCCAGAATGCATGTCCAGAATTACATACACCTACTGGGTGTTCCCAAGTGAAGGTCATTACTTGAGTACACGGATGGCTCTCAAAAGGTAAGTGCACGTATGAACCTGTGGCCCAAGAAGGGTGGGAAGTGGGGAGGGCGACTGGCCTGCAGGACAGGAAGGGAGACAGACAGGAGGGTGGTGGCTGGCCAAGCTGAGGAAGGAGTGCAAGACAGGAGGCAGGCCTGTAGGAGAAGCTCATCTAATGGTTACCCTCCACCAGATTGTATCCTTTGATTCCTGAGTTTCTTCCTCTTGATTTGATTTCCTCTGTCACTGCAAGAGAAAGAAGCAGAAAAGACAGACCCCAAAAGACAAGAACCCAGAGAGAGAAAGACCTGTCGCATGTCCAGGGGAGCCAGCCAGAGCCCACGAGGGAGAGAGCCTGAGCCGGAGCCCAAGCCCCTAGGCGGACAGGCAGCCCACCCCCATTGGCAGGGCCCAGCCTCATGCTAGCCCCTGCAGAAAGTCTAGCAGCCCAGCATGCCACTCCTCCGGTTTGTCCAGGTAACAGGGGTGCCCCGCCCCCGCCATGACCAGCTCCCTGTGGTTGGGCAGCTGCTTCAGGTGCTCAAAGCTGGTTGGTCCCATGGGGTCCTGGTCTCCATACACAATCAGGGCTGGAGTCTGGGAAAGGAAAGGGGCACAGAGTTAATGGGGCCCTGCCACATCAACCTGTCTCCTATAGGTCAGCTCCACCCCTCCCTGACACTTCAGTCTCTCCCTGGGGCCACTCCAAATGAGGGGGGAACAAGCTAGGGGTGGGTGGGGTGTGGATTTGTGCCTGCCCCTCACACAGATGAGCCCAGTAATCTGTTTTTTTTTTTTTCTTTTTTTGCTATAGGGCACATGCTCTTGTCAGAAAGACAGAGACAGAGAGACAGAAAGTGAGAAATCACCCCCCAGGGGGGCTGGCCACGCCGCAATCCCTTCTCCTCCATTCTCCTCTTGGGATCTTGGGCACGCATGCACACATGCCTGGCGTGAGTTTAAGCCACTGTGTTCGGGACTCAAACTACGGTCAGCAACACGTGAGTCCAGCGACATAGCCATTACGCCATCTGCTGGTCCCATAACCCAGTAATCTGTTAAGTAAACCCAAAGTGTGGAATTTGATGAAGGCATTTGACTCCTCCCCGAAGCCACCCTGGCCCAGCTCCCCCACCCCAAAATGGCCTGAGGATGGCGCCTTCCTGGCAAGCAGGACCCTCTCGGCTTCCCCCAGTGGATACCTTCACTCTGGCATAGTCGGCAGCATTGATTTTGTCAGTGCAGATGGGGGCCACAGGCACGTAGCCCCGGAGCTGGGAGCCAGGGGCGGTGAGGAAGGGCAGGGAGTACATGCCACTCAGTGACGGGCTGATCACAACTGGCGGGCCCAGCTCCAAGGCCTCCACTACAGCAGCCAGGAAGCTGCTAGGGACCAGCTCCCCAATAGGAGCAGGGGCCGTTGCTTCCTTGGAGCGCCCCAAACCTGCAGGGATTCAGGTGTGGGAGAGAGAGGGCAAAGGCAGTGAGCAGGAAAATGGGAGAGTCCCACCCTCCAGGAATCCTCCCTAGAACCATCACTCTGCACAGGCCTCCACTTACTGTCTGTGGCCTTGGGTAAGTCCGCCCAGCCCTCCCTCAGCTGCTCAGTTACCCTGTCTGCTCCAAGGAGTAACTCAAGTATCTGCCATTTCAGATGTTCAGGACAATGAACTGCTTAAAAGGCACCTAGCTCTAGTCCTTGGGAACAGTGGCCGTGGGGCTGGTTCTGCACCTGTACCTCCCCCTTACTCTGCCCCCACCTTTACCAAGAAGATTAGCTCAAGACCTTCGCCCTGAAGCTCAGCCCCACCCACTATTGGACCAGGTCCTGCCCAGGCTGGAGGCCTGCCCTTATGCCCTGAAGCCATCCAGCCCTGGCAGTAAAGGGATCAGGTCAGCCAGGCTACTTGGCTCCCAGGGCTGGGGCCTGGAATTACAAGTTATGACAGGCACTCTGGAGGCTGCCCCCATGTCCCCCAGAGTCCATCTCAGGCCTCTGTATGTGGGATCCCGACAGGGGGCCTAGCCACCAACCAGGCCCTGCTGTGCCCCCACAAAGACTCCGGACTCACTCTTCAGGGCGTTCAACAGCGAGTGTGTGGTTACAACTCTGTCACAACCTCTCACTTCCAACTGGCCGAGCACCAATTAGTTTGTGTCAGGGACCAGCCACATCCCCACGTGGATAATCTCATTCCATTCTCACGAGTTCTAACCCCAAGCAGGAGAGTGGATATCTCCCATGACAGATGAGGAGACAGAGGCTCTGAAACATTGTCCCAGGTAACAGGAGAGACTGGACAGTGTCCAGGCCACCGTCAGCTCAAGACTGGAGAAATGTAAAGACCTCTCTGTGTGCACAGAACTCTGTCTAGTCCTCCCAGTCCCACAACCCAGTCCTGGCTCCCCAAGGTGGGCTCCCCAACCCCTGCCCAGCACCTTGCCCCGGAAGTACCTGGCAGGTCAATGGCCACCGCCCGGTAGCCGGCCTGGGCCAGCTTTTGCAGCGTCCCCAGGTTCTGCCAGGTTTCAGAGGAGAAGCGGATACCATGCAACAGCAGTACAGAGAAGCGAGCGGCCTGCCCACCGCCTGGCCGTGCCTCTCGGAAGAAGAGGCCCTGGCCCTGCACCTGGATGGTGCCCTCGTGCCGCTCCATGTCCGCCATACCTGCCACTGCTGCTGCACTGGTGAAGCACCTGTGGTTCAAAACCAGGCCGATGAGGGGCCATAGGACATCCCACCCTGTGTCACGGAGCCTCCAAGAGCCTTCTAGAACTCCAGGGACATGCTTCGGGCTCAGTATGGCCTTGGGCTTCAGTTTCCTTTAAACTATGGGGACAATAAAGCCTACCTCAAGAATTAAGCACTGAGTTAAGAGTTAAAGGAAAGAACAAACAGAGAGTGCCTGTAGGGGGTGAGAGCCACTCAGAATAGGGCCTGCATTTGGGTTACTGTGAACTTATGATCCTATTCTGTAAATGGGGCTAGTTCAAGTACTCATAGGTGTTTAGTAGGATTATGAAGTCACGCTTTTAAAGCACTGGACCCTGCCCAGCACACAGTAAGTGCTCAACATTAGCTAACGGACTATTTTGCTTATTATCAACCTCATCCTCCCCAACGCAGTTAGTTACAGGTTGTGGGTTGAAATCCCGGACCAGAGCGAATCTAAGTTGGAGTGAAAAGCCCATTTTCCGGAAGTACCCACAGCGGGTGGGGTGGGCTTTGGAATTCCAGCTCACAAGGGACGCGGGGTGCTCAGCCCGTGGCCGGCTGCAGCTCAACACGTTCACGCCGTGGTCAGGGACAGCTCGCTCAGTCCCTTTAACGAACCTGGGTTCCGGTTCGCTGGGTCT